TTTTGAAAAATTAGAATCAAGAATTCTCGGGTTTGGTTATGGTTCCAATACTGCTAGAACTGCGAACCGAAACTGAGGTCCGGGTACCTGGGTAAGAACTAGGACTGAATTGTAATTTTTTGTAAACTGTTAGGGTGTATTGAGATTTTTGGGAGTGTATTTGTCATTTTTAATAAAGTAGGGGGTAATTAAAATTAACTTGAGTACTTGGAATCGGAAACCTATGTTTCAGGTTCCGATTTTAGGTTTCTAGGAACCGAAACCGACTGGTTCTGGTTCCTTAAAAAATACATGGTACTCAAAACCCATTACCCTTACCAGTATCCAACCAATTGACCACCGAGCGATGGTTCAATATACACGATGTTAATCATCATAAACTTCTTATAAGAATTGATTCCTCTCAATTGGGTGTTGCAATATTTGCTAATTAAATTTTTGGTGTTGTTTGATTTTGATTAGGTTTTGAGCAATGCAAATTACAAGAGTGTGGAGCATAGAGTGATAGTAAACCCCAATCAAGAACGGGTATCTCTTGCTTTCTTTTACAATCCCAAAAGTGATATACCGATTGAACCAGTGAAGGAACTTATAACGACGGACAAACCTGCACTGTATCCTCCCATGACATTTGATGAATACAGACTTTTCATAAGATTGAGAGGTCCTCGTGGCAAATCCCAAGTCGATTCTATGAAATCTCCAAAATGTTATTAATATTCCTATATTGTTAAAATCTAATTAGCTATAGTTATTATTATTTTTTTTTTCTTAATCTTTCCCTTAATTGATTATTTGAGATAATTGTACATCTTGTAATCATGAAAGGGATTATATTAATAGAATCAAATCAAGTTTCAAGCATAGAAGATAATATATATGTTCTTTCATTAATAGTTGTGGCTTTAGGGCACACACACACACACACACACACACACACACACATATATATATATTTTTTTTTTTTTTTTAAATCCGGTAATTGTTTCTCCCCTAACTCGAGGACAAGAACTTGACTAAAGGGCTTGTCACCCAACTAAAAGGAGAGATGTCACATAAAGAATTTGATCATGACATGTTTCATTTTTTTCATCATTGATCGAGGCAAATTAACATGGCCAATTAAATAAATTTTTATGACTGGTCTTATGGCATGATACACGTGAAATTAATATATGGTGTATTTAATATGGTTGGATTTTATTTGATTAAAATTCAACAAAATCTTTTCTCTGAAATCGTGAAATTTTTTATTAAATTTGCGACAGAGATTTACTCTAAAATTTTATTAATTAAACAAAAACCTCAATAAAAAACCAAATTAGAAGTTTCTCATTTCAATAATCCAACTATAGTTAGGGCGTGATTCACGATATAATAAACAGTATAAAATATATTTAAAAGATTGACATGTGAATATATGAAAATCATTATTTTTTTCCTGTTTGAAACAATCTGTTTCTAAATGGTGGGGATGGGCTAAAGATAATTAAATGTCACATGCATACTTTCATTGTTTGATACATGATTGATTGTCCACCCAAAAAAATAAAATAAAATAAAAATCTTGGCCACTATAGTTTTTAATTTTTTACACTAGGAATATCGTACGTTCCACATATTATAAAGTATTTAAAGGACCCATTTTCATATAATAATTATTCACATATAAAAAAGCTTATAGTATAATATTGCTAATGTTATACATTATGATAATTTTTTGCGCATTATCGTACTAACCCATGTTTTGAATCTTCAAGCTTTGCTAAAGTGACTTCTTTTTACCGACCCCACTCAAAGTTTTGGAGTTTTATTTAGTCAAATAAATACAAATAAATATTAATTAATAATTAAATTTCATGTTCAGAGTCTATACTGCCAACCATTAAGGTTCTTCTGGAAATAAAATATGTTTATCACAATGTAGCTTTCAGTGACAACTCTTACTATAAAGTTCAACAAATAATTTAATTATAAAGTTGTATTATCTATAAGACATTGGATAGGAGTTCACGCAAATATTTTTGTTTTATTATTGTCTAATTGAAGAGATTTTCATTTTATATCTTAGGGTTAGTTTTGTTGGTTTGAATTTTTTTGAGAAATTTTGAAAGGTTGTTTTATATCAGTTTCCTTTGTTAATTTTATTATCTTTATTTTTGAGGCAGGCAGCCATTGGTGATGATGGTGGTCCACGGCCGCTGATTGTGTGAGTCTCAGCCTCTAATTTCCCATAAAAATCAGATATTATCATTCAAAGTTCAAACCCCACCCATGATTTTAATACAAAACTATTATTTTATTGGTAAGATAACAATATCAATAATTTCAACGATATTAACCTTTAAAATTAACGGAAAAAAAAATATTAATCTAATGATTAACGTTGACTGATGATTTTTATGTCGATAAAACATATTAAAAAAAGTTTAATTTTTTTTTTAATAATCTTCTTTTATCTTGAACTTGTCGACAAGTTTAACACAATTAGTCAAATTATGATAATTTATGTCAAGAATAAAGACATAATTTTTGCAAGTATTTATCCATACAACATCAATTCGCATGTCTATTTCAATTAAAGTTGTACTATTTCAACATCGAGTTCACACTAAAATAATTACATCTAATAAAACATTTTTGAGAATAAAATAGCTTAAATTACATATAAAATAGACTAATTTTTTTTTTAAATATTCCCGAAATTCATAAATTGAAATATAGAAAAGGGTAGATATTCTGTCAATTTTCCTTTTAAAACGTGTTTGAAAAATAAAGAAAAAGAAATAGTATTTAATTAATGGTATATTGTAGAAATTTCAAGCTTGAACGTGGAAATTATTGGGCAAGAAGTGGGCCAGAAACGTGTATAATCTATATATATTATATTCTAGCGGGAGACAGGACAAGTCACTAGTCACAAGTGCTTGGTTACGTCAGCCAGCAGAAATAAAAAAAGATCTAAGAGTCAAATCACCACGTGCACCCAAAAGAAATGGGCACGTTTATTTGCTGTTTCATTAATTTAGTAAAGTAAAGAGGAAGCCCACCACCTATCACTTTCACTGCCCACAATAAAATAAAAAGACAAAACACATGCTATTTTCTTACTGTAAGCTAAGCATACACGTCACCGGATATTTTTATGACTTCTCAATCTCAAACTCAATGAGAGAGATGGAGAGGTAGGGACTCCAGAAGACAACATCTACGTCTCTCACTCTCCCCAATCCCAACAGCCCACCCATTTATATTATTACATAAATAATTAATTTAAAATAATCACATAAATATATGGCGAAAACATCTTCCGACCACCCAAAGATTTGTCCTAATGATAGTTTACTATCCGAAAAGTTTTGAAAACGATAATTATCTACCGACTGTTAAGATTTGTTTTGACAATTTCCTCCACCGTTCAATCTATTAGTGAAATCTGTTAATTGACTTTGATAATCATTGTAAAAAACAAAATACTTTTACTTTTACTTTTATATACGTCCTAGTGTCCCACCCATTTATATTAACATAATAATTAATTTAAAAATAATCACATAAATATAGTCAAGGACATCTTCCCCCAACCCAAGATTTGCCCTAACGATAGTTTACTCCGAAAAGTTTGAAAACGACATTATCTACCAACCGTTAAGATTTGTTTGACAATTTCTCATCAACCGCTCAGATCTATTAGTGAAATCTGTTAATTGACATTGAATGACATTGTAAAAAGAAAATACTTTTTACTTTTTATATACCGTCCCATCAATCCACCCATTTATATTATTACATAAATAATTAATTTAAAATAATCACATAAATATATAGGTCAAGGACATCTTCCCACCACCCAAAGATTTGCCCTAACGATAGTTTACTACCGAAAAGTTTGAAAACGACAATTATCTACCAACCGTTAAGATTTGTTTGACATTTTCACCCACCGTTCGATCTATTAGTGAAATCTGTTAATTGACATTGAAATCATGTAAACGAAATACTTTTTACTTTTTATATACCGTCCCAACATCCCCCCCATTTATATTATTACATAAATAATTAATTTAAAATAATCACATAAATATATAGGTCGAAGGACATCTTCCCACCCCCCAAAGATTTGCCCTAAGATATTTACTACCCGAAAAGTTTGAAACGACAATTATCTACCAACCGTTAAGATTTGTTTGACAATTTCCCACCTACTTCAGATCTATTAGTGAATCTATTAATTGACATGATAATCATTGTAAAAAAAATACTTTTACTTTTTATATACCATCCCACATACCACACCATTATATTACATAAATATTAATAAAAAAAATAATCACATAAATATATGGTCGAAGGACATCTTCCCACCACAAAGATTTGCCCTAACGATAGTTTACTACCGAAAAGTTTGAAAACGACAATTATCTACCAATCGTTAAGATTTGTTTGACAATTTCTCACCCACCGTCAGATCTATTAGTGAAATCTGTTAATTGACATAATAACATTGTAAAAACGAAAATACTTTTTACTTTTATATACCGTCCTAATAGTCCCCCATTTATTTATTACATAAAAATTAATTTAAAAATAGTCACATAATATATAAGTCGAGGACATCTTCCCATCACTCAAAGATTTGCCCTAATGATAGTTTACTACCCGAAAGTTTGAAACGACAATTACCTACCATCGTTAAATTTGTTTGACAATTTATCACCCACCGTTTAGACTGTTAGTGAAATCTATTAATTGACATTGAAATCGCGTAAAAACGAAATACCTTTTACCTTTTTATACAGATCCTAGATGGCTAGATCTCATTCGGATAAACTATAAGCAACTCCATCACTCATCATATCGAGTATGGATTATGTTACCCAGAGTAATTTACCCTACACAAGAATCATTGGATCATACTTCAAAGAGACCCGTCGAAAAAATCCCTAGAAACATGAGGAAATTAAACCAAACTATTTACGTTTTTACATACTTCAATCTACTGTGAAATCCAGCTTACCAGATTTAATTCATGATCCAGTGCCTATTTGTATGCTTGCAGCACCTAAAATTCCAAGACAACTGAACAAATTAGAGAAAGGACAATGCCATTGTAACTGCTACCTATTTTATCCAATAAATTAAGGGTCACCCGTTGTAAGGGTGAAGAATTCAGACTTCAATCAGACATCAGTCAGTGCTAAACATCATTTAGAATGTGTAAGCGCTATGAAACCCAGAAGTTCCCAACCCAGAAAAGCAAGATTAAATAGATAAATAAACTATCATGACTTTACTACAATAACAGTGAGTAAAATAAGCTGGTATGTGACGCCATAAGCTTCTCTGTAACTGCTAATGCCTTCCCTTCTTTGTGCAGCAAGAAGGACATTTGTACTGCTTGATACTTTCTGCTTTGGCTGGTGTTATCTTCACACATTTTCCATGGTACCACCGCTCACAAATGTCACAACCTATCCAAAACTCATCAGAGTTGTAACTTGACCCACAGCTTCCGCAAAAGGTTTCGTTGTGCTCATCATCTTCGTCCTCTACACGATCCTCAAGTATTTTGGGATTGCTCCTCACTAATCCATCAATTGATCTCTGCAGCATGAGAGTAGGTTATGAGCCCAAAATAATGCAAGCAAAAGAGAAGGAGAAAACTAAAACATAGTTTGAATTTATCAATTTGTATTGGTTTTATCAGACTGAAAGAATAGCGAGAATCTTTACCTTGGAGCCATTCCGGGATTTGCTTCCACTATCTACACTTGGTTTATCTTTTAGAGGCTTCCTGCCAGTAACAACTTCAAAGAGGGTGGGAAGATCGTTGATTAAGCTAAATAGCCGCTTCCTGTTGATCTATAAATATCAATAAAAATACCGAAGGACACTGGGAAAATAGGTGGAGGTTTGGAATATTTGCCCTCTAAAACACATGTAAAAACCAATGGGAGGAAGCCCCCTTATCTGAATTAGCTAGACAGTGTAACCATTCGATTAGTGCATGCATGGCTAAGAACAAGTTGATTTAAAATTTTACCTCCACCAAAGCAGTCTGTAGAGAATATTGAAAACTACAAACAGAAGGAAAAAGAAAACTATGCAAATTGTTAAGGTGAATGAATTTTCATCAAGCTCTAGAAAAACCTGAAAGGATAGCAGATAAATACAAACAACTCACTAGTCATGCCATCTTTAATTTAAGGTATATATGTGTTTGTAAATCTATCAATCTCAGAACCCAAAAGATGGTGACTAGTAAGTGGTCCTGGAAGTTTGCATCCAGCAAAACACTTTCTGATGGTGAAATGAGGGTAATAGAAATATAAATAATGTCATAAAAAACTCAAGGTTCTCTCTCGATCATCTCTTGCTTCATATAATATACCTGTTAAATGAAAAGCTTAGCTAAAACTTTGATTTCCCTATTCTGATCTTGGAAAGTGTCTCAAGTACCTTCCATCAATGTCCTGCAACAGAGAACCCTTTTGGCTGTCCAAAGAATGTCATTGGAAACTGGAATAAGATGATATGAGAACCAGCCTACAGATCCAGACAAAGCTCAATAACTCAAACTTATTTTCACCAACCCAAATCTGTCGGATTGTGCAGGACTACATGGAATACGCTCAATCCTAGCATCAATCTTAGGCTAGTCCAGCCTAATGCCACCCAAGTTGCAGCATGAATAAGGCATCTTTCAGTGATTCAAAATCTTTAGGCTTGTTGACCTCTACTGCATGGCAGCAACTATAGGCATGTCAAGCATGCTTTCACATAATTACAATGATGTGAGATGAGTCTGAACTTCAATATGAAAAATTGCACTCAAATAAATGAACAAGTTAAATTGAGCAATTCATTTCATAAAGTGGGGAACCATGCCACTTTTGATCACCAGTGCATACAATTTTTTTTTTCCCCTTTTTCCCTTGTGTATAGAAATTGCTAAGTCATTAGTATAAAAGCCGACAAAATAAGGGACTATTAGTTATAGACAGAATTAACTGGAACTGACCCCTGCTACTTCAGATGACTATGTTAGAATCCAAAGTGTCACTAGTGAACTCGTTTCTCTATAACAAGTGGTGGATAGTGCTGTGTTGACTACATACAGAACCAGCATTTAGCAGCTGATATTTGGGAACAGGTCAGGGGTAAATTCATGGAAGATGTCTGCCATATGTTGGTCTAGTACTCCATGAATATTCCGAAACATAGTATCAATTTTGGTTGTCCATAAAGAATTGATTTCCTATTAGAGTAACAGGAAGAAATGAGGATATACTGAATCCCATGAATGACTCTTTTGCAGATGAAGGGCTGAGACCAGGGACCATATATTTTTAATCCATTCTATTCAATGAATGTGTGGTAGCTGATACTGACTAATTCAGCTACAAGTAGATAGTATATGGATTGGTCCAGTGATTTCAATTGACAAGAAATAGCTAGAAAGGTGAATCCTATCCATTTAGTTTACTAAAGTTGGCCTCAAATACATTATCAATTGTAAATTGAAGACCAGGAACTAAAGGATTCGATGCAACTCCTATCATGATGGGAATAGTGTAGCAGAGAAATTGTTAAAAAATAGCAGAGATGTAGCCAAAATTTTAAAATCTCTTCAGAAGATTTTGCAGTGATTACGGCATAAGCACTTCCTTACATTGTGACAACTTTGTTCACTGTACAAGTAAAGCAATTATCAAATTTAAAAATATGATCATCACAGTAATAAACTCTTATTAGATATATCGTTGTTGAATTTCACCAAAAAAGGGCTATTGCACCTACAAGTAGCAAACACTATCTAGTTTTTAACAATGCTTCAATTAACATTGAGTATCCACAGCAAGTATACACAAAATTGTACCTTTCATTGCGATTAAGTCGAGCACCAAAGTAGAAAGCCACTGCAAGCAACCAGCAATCACTATGAACTGCAACAAGAGAAAGCCAATCTTTCCTATGCATCCCATCCCTCGAAAAATTTATGCCCAATGCTGGCTCTGGAACCTCCGGTGGCACCTCATCAGCAGGCATTGCCACCTCCCAAGATTCATTTGGGTGTCCGTACAAACACAGATTCTCCTTCTCTACAAAAATGAACCAAAAAAAAATAAAAAATTCTAAGCTTAATTCACAAATTCTAAGTATTTCAAATGTCGAATGCTGTTAATCAAATTTAAAGTACATCTTAAGCTCACTATAGATGCAACCGACTAACTTCGCTGAGCAACCAAAAAGTAATAAAGAAAGTGAACTAACCTGGATCGCATTGTGAGTAGAACTTGTCGACATCTAAAAAAAAAAAAAACCGTCAACTTCAAAGAGAAAATCAAACAAAAACACTTCCGTTTCATCTGAACATTAGGGTTTAAAATTCAAAGAGAGTGAAAAGAAGGACCCGAAGTGAGAGCACGAACGAGAGCCGAGCGACGACAGTTGAAGTCCTTGAAGATCTCTTCTACCGTACGAGGACTTGAAGAAACTGAAGCCATTTGCCTGTACGTATACGGTACCGTATACGTACGTACGTATTAAGGTAGATTCGTATGATGTTTTGAGTTAGAAACGGAAGGTTTGAGTACAGAGGAGCTGAAGATCGGTTATCTGAAGACTGAAGCTTTGAACTTTCCCACTGTAGAAGGCGAAACGCCAAAAGTTTGAAGTTATTTATATTAGGAAAATGCAAAGCCAAGTAGTTCTGTTATTGGGCCTTTTCTTGGCCCAGTTGATTTTTTAAATTTTGAGTCGTGTACGTTATTGCTAGGTCAGATTATAACCGTTGGATTATCATAGATCAACGGTCATGAATTTGTGTTAACAATTTAAGTCATAAATTTAAGTTAAAAGGTATTAAATATCACATAAATATATAGGTCGAAGGACATCTTTCCCACCCCCCAAAGATTTGCCCTATGATATTTACTACCCGAAAAGTTTGAAACGACAATTATCTACCAACCGTTAAGATTTTGTTTGACAATTTCCACCTACCTTCAATCTATTAGTGAATCTATTAATTGACATGATAACATTATGTAAAACCGAAAATACTTTTACTTGTTATATAACCATCCCACAGTCCACCCATTATATTACATAAATATAAAAATAAAAATAATCACATAAATATATGGTCGAAGGACATCTTCCCACCAGCAAAGATTTGCCCTAACGATGTGTTTACTACCGAAAAGTTTGAAAACGACATTATCTCCAATCGTTAAGTTTGTTTGACAATTTCTCACCCACCGTTCAGATCTATTAGTGAAATCTGTTATGACATTAATAACTTGTAAAAACGAAAATACTTTTTACTTTTTATATACCGTCCTAATAGTCCGCCCATTTATTTATTACATAAAAATTAATTTAAAAATAGTCACATAATATATAAGTCGAAGGACATCTTCCCATCACTCAAAGATTTGCCCTAATGATAGTTACTACCCGAAAGTTTGAAACGACAATTACCTACCATCGTTAAATTTGTTTGACAATTTATCCACCCCACCGTTTAGACCTTTAGTGAAATTATTATTGACATTGAAATCGCGTAAAAACGAAATACCTTTTCCTTTTTTATACAGATCCTAGATGCTAGATCTCATTCGGATAAACTAATAAGCAACTCCAATCACTCATCATATGAGTATGGATTATGTTACCCGAGTAATTTACCCTACACAAGAATCATTGGATCATACTCAGAGACCCGTCGAAAAAATCCCTAGAAACATGAAATTAAACCAAACTATTTAAGTTTTTACATACTTCAATCTACTGTGAAATCCAGCTTACCAATTTAATTCATATCGACCAGTGCCTATTTTTGCATTGCAGCACCCAAAATTCCAAGACAACTGAACAAATTAGAGAGAGGACAATGCCATTGTACCTGCTACCTATTTTATCCAATAAATTAAGGGTCACCCGTTGTAAGGGTGAAGAATTCAGACTTCAATCAGACATCATCATGCTAAACATCATTTGAATGTGTAAGCGCTATGAACCCAGAAGTTCCCAACCCGAAAAGCAAGATTAAATAGATAAATAAACATCATGACTTTACTACAATAACAGTGAGTAAAATAAGCTGGTATGTGACGCCATAAGCTTCTCTGTCAACTGCTAATGCCTTCCCTTCTTGTGCAGCAAGAAGACATTGTACTGCTTGATACTTCTGCTTTGGCTTTTTTATCTTCACACATTTTCCATGTACCACCGCTCACAATGTCACAACCTATCCAAAACTCATCAGAGTTGTAACTTGACCAACAGCTTCCGCAAAAGGTTTCGTTGTGCTCATCATCTTCGTCCTCTACATGATCCTCAAGTATTTTGGGATTGCTCCTCCTAATCCATCAATTGATCTCTGCAGCGTGAAGCAGGTTATGAGCCCAAAATAATGCAAGCAAAAGAGAAGGAAAACTAAACATAGTTTGAATTTATCAATTTGTATTGGTTTTATCAGACTGAAAGAATAGCGAGAATCTTTACCTTGGAGCCTTCCGGGATTTGCTTCCACTATCTACACTTGGTTTACTTTTTAGAGGCTTCCTGCCAGTACAACTTCAAAGAGGGTGGAAGATCGTTGATTAGCTAAATAGCCGCTTCCTGTTGATCTATAAATATCAATAAAAATACCGAAGGACACTGGGAAAATAGGTGGAGTTTGGAATATTTGCCCTCTAAAACACATGTAAAACAAATGGGAGAAGCCCCCTTATCTGAATAAGCTAACAGTGTAACCATTCGATTAGTGCATGCATGGCTAAGAACAAGTTGATTTAAAATTTTACCTCCACCAAGCAGTCTGTAGAGAATTTGAAAACTACAACAGAAGGAAAAAGAAACTATGCAAATTGTTAAGGTGAATGAATTTTCATCAAGCTCTAGAAAACCTGAAAGGATAGCAGATAAATACAAACACTCACTATGTCATCCATCTTTAATTTAAGGTATATATGTGTTTGTAAATCTATCAATCTCAGAACCCAAAAGATGGTGACTGTAATGTGTCCTGGAATTTGCATCCAGCAAACACTTTCTGATGGTGAAATGAGGGTAATAGAAATAAAATAATGTCAAAAAAACTCAAGGTTCTCTCTCGATCATCTCCGGAAAGAAAAATATTAATCTAATGATTAACGTTGACTGATGATTTTAATGTCGATAAAACATATTAAAAAAAGTTTAATTTTTTTTTTAATAATCTTCTTTTATCCTGAACTTGTCGACAAGTTTAACGCAATTAGTCAAATTATGATAATTTATGTAAAGAATAAAGACATAATTTTTGCAAGTAGCATGCAGTATGATGATTTATCCATACAACATTAATTTGCATGTCTATTTCAATTAAAGTTGTATTACTTCAACATCGAATTCACACTAAAACAACGACATCTAATCTAACGAGAGCTTTTTGAGAATAAAATAGCTTAAATTACATATAAAATAGACTAATTTAATTTTTTTTAAAAATATTCCCAAAATTTATAAATTAAAATATAGAAAAGGGTAGATATTCTGTCAATTTTCCTTTTAAAACGTGTTTGAAAAATAAAGAAAAAGAAATAGTATTCAATTAATGGTATATTGTAGAAATTTCAAGCTTGAACGTGGAAATTATTGGGCAAGAAGTGGGCCAGAAACGTGTATAATCTATATATATTATATTCTAGCGGGAGACATGACAAGTCACTAGTCACAAGTGCTTGGTTACGTCAGCCAGCACAAATAAAAAAAGATCTAAGAGTCAAATCACCACGTGCACCCAAAAGAAATGGGCACGTTTATTTGCTGTTTCATTAATTTAGTAAAGTAAAGAGGAAGCCCACCACCTATCACTTTCACTGCCCACAATAAAATAAAAAGACAAAACACATGCTATTTTCTTACTGTAAGCTAAGCATACACGTCACCGGATATTTTTATGACATTCTCAATCTCAAACTCAATGAGAGAGATGGAGAGGTAGGGACTCCAGAAGACAACAGCTCTACGTCTCTCACTCTCTCCCAAGTCCCAACAGCCCACCCATTTATATTATTACATAAATAATTAATTTAAAAATAATCACATAAATATATAGGGCGAAAGACATCTTCCGACCACCCAAAGATTTGTCCTAATGATAGTTTACTATCCGAAAAGTTTGAAAACGATAATTATCTACCGACTGTTAAGATTTGTTTGACAATTTCTCGTCCACCGTTCAGATCTATTAGTGAAATCTGTTAATTGACATTGATAATCATTGTAAAAACGAAAATACTTTTTACTTTTTACTTTTTATATACCGTCCTAGTAGTCCAACCATTTATATTATTACATAAATAATTAATTTAAAAATAATCACATAAATATATAGGTCTAAGGACATCTTCCCACCACCCAAAGATTTGCCCTAACGATAGTTTACTATCGAAAAGTTTGAAAACGACAATTATCTACCAACCGTTAAGATTTGTTTGACAATTTCTCATCAACCGCTCAGATCTATTAGTGAAATCTGTTAATTGACATTGATGATCATTGTAAAAACGAAAATACTTTTTACTTTTTATATACCGTCCCAACAGTCCACCCATTTATATTATTACATAAATAATTAATTTAAAATTAATCACATAAATATATAGGTCTAAGGACATCTTCCCACCACCCAAAGATTTGCCCTAACGATAGTTTACTACCGAAAAGTTTGAAAACGACAATTATCTACCAACCGTTAAGATTTGTTTGACAATTTATCACCCACCGTTCAGATCTATTAGTGAAATCTGTTAATTGACATTGATAATCATTGTAAAAACGAAAATACTTTTTACTTTTTATATACCGTCCCAACAGTCCACCCATTTATATTATTACATAAATAATTATTTAAAAATAATCACATAAATATATAGTCGAAGGACATCTTCCCACCACCCAAAGATTTGCCTTAACGATAGTTTACGACCCAAAAGTTGAAAACGACAATTATCTACCAACTGTTAAGATTTGTTTGACATTTCTCACCCACCACTCAGATCTATTAGTGAAATCTGTTAATTACAGTAATAATCATTGTAAAAACGAAAATACTTTTTACTTTTTTATACCGCCCCAACGTCCACCATTTATATTATTACATAATAATTAATTTAAAAAATATCACAAAATATATAGGTCGAAGTACATCTTCCCACCACCCAAAGATTTGCCCTAATGATAGTTTCTACTCGAAGTTTGAAAACAACAATTACCTACCACTGTTAGATTTGTTTGACAATTTCTCATCCACCGTTCAGATCTATTAGTGAAATCGTTAATTGCAATGTTTTAAAACCACACCGGGGTGCAACCCGGCAAAGTCTTCGGGTCCCGGGTTGACCGGTTTAACCGGTTTAACCAGCATGTTTTAAAACCCACCCGAGGTGCAACCCGGCAAAGTTCTTCGGGTCCCGGTTGACCGGTTTACCGGTTTAATCGCTGGTTAAACCGGTTGACAATAAATTTAAAATTCAGCAAATACACCCCTAAAAATACTTATAAGTCCCTACATGTTTGAATTTTATCAAACACACCCTAAATGCAAATCGACGGCGACGATTGACGCGCGGCGACACCCCAGATG